AATACTGTCGCAAATTAATTAATAATATAAATGATATACCGAACTAACGTGTATAATTAATTTTGGTAAGCGTGAACATGATCAATTTCTAAATGATCAGGTTACTTTTTGAGAATATAAACTTGGTTTATAAAGCGGTCAAATTATTTGCATTGCTAACAAAATTTTAAGCGGGATCATTGTAATTAATTAAATGGAAAACATTAATTATAAATTAGATTTTTAAATAAAATTAAATAAACTCATATTTTTAGTGAAAACTGTAATTATTTATGTAAACTTTGCAATTAACTAAATAATTATTAATATACATTATTATCGGATAACCAAGGTTTCGACTTTAAAATTATAACCTAGTTAATTTATTTTTCTCATTTACCCACAAATAACGACTCAATGAATACATACGTTATTATTATAGCGATTGAAGTCCTGTAGCGAGACATTCACAACCGTATGACTGCTCTGGGATTCGGCCGATTGGGAGCCCCTCTCGACCGCTAACATCCACTCCCCCTCCCTATCGTCCGTATAGGAGGTGTCCGACCCGTACTTATCGCCAATAGACGACTGTCCACTCGCGGGCGGCCCATACATCACACCGTCGGCGGATTGACCCTTCAGGCGATACCTCAACGGAATGTCCACTCTATCCGTGTATACAGTGTTCGGGTGCTATACGAATTTTTAATAAAATTAAATAATCAAAACTGTAATATAAAGTTTATTTTGAAAAAATTCTAAACTATAACTAAATTTTAAAATATTTTATTATTGGGGAAAAAGGATCTGACTCTAAAATTAATTTTCTCATTTACTCACAAATAATAACTCAATGAATACATACGTTATTTATATAGCGATTGAAGTCAAATGAAATAGACAATTTAAAATTTTAATTCAAGTAATTGATGTTTCTCATTTAACCTCAAAATTTATGATAGGTGATATACTGTATGTTTATAACAAGTTTGTGTTTTTTTGTTGTTCAGATATTTCAGTTTTGACGCAAGGTTTTCAAATACACTATTAAAAATATTGTAATTAATTACATTTTTGTAAACCTTATTAATTAAATATAAACTAATTAAATTAAATAAAGTTATATTTGTAATAATAACGGTGATAATTTATGTGATAACTTTCAAAAATGTAAATAATTTTTAATATATTATACTTTATTACCGGATAGTGAGTACGAGCCATACATTAACTTTGTGATGGGGCATATATCATTTTATCTTGCACAATTTTATTCGACATTTAATTATTTATTTAATATTTGGTTTCTTAAACCAAAATCCATAATTATTCCCAAAATTGTAATAATACTATTGTAGATATTACGATTAATTGACTCATTTTAAAATATAAATTGTTAGTTAAATAGTAATTTAACTAATTATATTTTTAATTTTGTTATTGGCCACAAAGCGTTCAGTCGATTTTAAAAATTATAATCTATTTAAATTTATTTTCTTATTAAACAACAACTACTCAATTGATAATATTTAAATGTAAATTTTTGGTAACGTTACTTATACTGTATTAAAATAAAAAAGCTTATGTTTCTAATAAAAACTGTAATATTTGATGAAAATTTTCAAATAACAAAACTAATTATTAATATTATTTGTTATTGGGTTAAGAGGACTGAAAGAAATTAGTTTTATTAGGAAAACACTTGGACTGCTAGTTGTTGAATAATCCTTAAGAGTATACATTTCAAGCTGTAATCATAGCACTAGCCTATAGAATAACACTATACAATACAGTACATGCTGTTTGCTTTTAAGGTTTATTCTGCACGGTGTGATCCACTTATTGAAAATGGATATCCCATACAATTAATTGATTCATGTACAGTCTTAGTAAAATTACAGATAAAGTCAACCAAAACACTAATATTAATCCTGTGAATCAAATAATAAACTGTTAATTGTTTATTCATTATCATTTGATTTATACTAACAATACTATATAAAAGTTATTTGGTGCCCGAACCAATCCGAAATAAATTTTTAATTACTTAACTTTAGAAAATTAAGCAATGTGAAATATTTTATTGACATAATTTAATAAACGTTTTGAAACTGTGAATTATGCCTACTATTAACCTGTGTTTATAAAATAAACTCAGGACTCGGAGTTGTGAGTCGAAAGGTTTTTAAAGAAACTTTTATACATTACACGTAAGCAATAGAAAAAAGCTTTTGACTCGCAACTCATCCATGATCCTGGTTTATTTTACAAACAACAAAATGTTATTGTACTAAACTATTTGATTATCTTAAAGTTGGTATATATTTGTCACAGTTTTATGTTTGTTTTTAAAAATTAATTTTTAATCAATGAATATTTTATAAATTAAAATTTTTGTTATAAACTGTTAATTAGATATTTATTATCATATTAGTTATACTATGAAAGCATTATAAAGATTACTTGGTTTTCAAAAAACTTAAATAGAAATTTTTGATTTGTTTAATTATTTTACTTATAAAAGATTAAGCAATGTAAAATAAATTATTTAATTAACTTTTTTAGAATTTATTTCTATAGCTACTATACACATGATATTTGAGACCTTTTAATAAAATAATGAGCAAATATACTGTATTTTAATATACAATTTACTAGCTTACATAAAATATAAATAAAATATTATACACAGGATCCTTTTCATTCGGAATAATAAACCTTCATGAAATAGTCAACTTCCGTTCCATAATGAACCTGGTCAACCCTGGTCAATTTTATAATTAAATTAATTATTAAAACTGTAATAAATGCATTTAATAACTATTACATATTTTATTAAAAATTAATTATTTAAAAATGGTAACCCACTGGCGTTTCCATTTTTAATTTATATTTTAATTTATAATTTATATATTTTATGTTAATTAATATAAAGTAATTTATTTAATTAAGCAACTTAAATTGATTTGTTTATAATTTTATTAATTAGTAAAAATTAATTTCATAAAGAATTTAAATTTTATTAAATATATTAATAAACAATAGCAAGTACAAAAAATGAAAATAATTAAAATGTTTGACATATAAAAATAAATACAAAAATATATAAATTTATAATAACTTCACTATTTATAACACATTTTTAAAAACTAATTATATTTTGCGATAAATTTTGTGTAAAAAACTTTGAAAACAATTATATATTTTTCGAAATCAAATGAAAACATAAATGAATTGTTTGTATAAAATATAAAACACTTATTAAATAATAATTACTTATAAAACACGTATAATAGTGTAGTAAATGCTACGGAAATACATGGGAACAGTAGGCGAGCCCTATATGAATCATCGCTGGCCGGGGAACGGTATCCCTTGTAGTGGTCGTAGTGGTAGTCCTTGTGATGACTATGGCTATCGTAATGGGTGTTCCGTTTGGCTCTACTGTTAATAACGCTTATGTCGTGGACTACCGGCGCGTGTCTGAGGGACCGGTAGCTAACGGTGGGTGCGATCGCCGGCGCGTTTTGGGCAATAAGTCTCATGACGTCGTTGAGGATCGTATGGTCCGTCCGGTTCTTGAGCTGCTCTTTGGTGAGCGCCGGGATGTGTCCGATGGCTGAGCCGACGGGCGGTGTCTTAGGGCTGACCTCCAGTTCCTTCTGTAGGGGCGACTCGTCTACGGCGACAGCGATGTTGTGTTGAGTCGTGGGCTGCGATGGCGGCGGTTGTGAGGGGACGGGTGTCTGTGGTATGGGTTTCGTGCGTTTGCCGTACACTTGGCTCTCATTGCGTCGGGACTTTAGCTGTAGGTGCGAGTGGACGGGTAGGTATTAATTAATTAAATTTATTTTTAAAAACTGTCACAGAACAATTGATATTATAAATGATATACTGAACTAATGTGTAAAATTAATTTTGGTAACTGTGCATATCCTCAATTTCTAAATGATCAGGTTACTTTTTGAGAATATAAACTTATTTTATAAAGCTGTTAAATTATTTACATTGCTAACAAAATCATTTAATTTAAGTGGAATCATTGTAATTACGGTAATTAAATTGAAAACATTAATTATAAATTAGATTTTAAAATAAAATTAAATAATCTCATATTTTTAGTGAAAACTGTAATTATTTATGTAAACTTTGCAAATAACTTACAAATTATTAATATACATAATTAACGGGGAAACCGAGGTATTCACTTTAAAATTATGACCTAGTTAATTTATTTTTCTCATTTACCCACAAATAACGACTCAATGAATACATACGTTATTATTATAGCGATTGAAGTCCTGTTGCGAGACATTCACAACCGTATGACTGCTCTGGGATTCGGCCGATTGGGAGCCCCTCTCGACCGCTAACATCCACTCCCCCTCCCGATCGTCCGTATAGGAGGTGTCCGACCCGTACTTATCGCCAATAGACGACTGTCCACTCGCGAGCGGCCCATACATCACACCGTCGGCGGACTGACCTTTCAGGCGATACCTCAACGGAATGTTCACTCTATCCGTGTATACAGTGTTCGGGTGCTTATTGATGGGCACAATAGGCTTTCCCAACGGCACCGGTCGTAGGGCTGACAGTTTACTACTGGGCGCCAGTTCCCCATAACGTGATATATTAAAGCCACTGAAGTCAGGACTCGGGGCCCGAAAGGTCGGGGCGAAGGGAACGGAATTGTTTTGGGAGAATGGGTTGGAACTGGAGGTGGACTGGGATGTGGACAG